GGGGGGGGGGGGGGGGGGGGGGGGGGGGGGGGGGGGGGGGGGGGGGGGGGGGGGGGGGGGGGGGGGGGGGGGAGCGTAATCTTATGTTTTGCATACCTTAGAGGTCAGACCATGACAATGCATCGCCACAAAGCCGGGAGGGAGCACGCCAGGTTATCACCGGACCAGGTTCTCACATCACCAAGCACGAAGGACCGTGAGGTATTCGGCGGGGGGAGGGGGGGGGTCATTGGTTTTGCAACGCGCCAGAAACGGAAAGCTTGCGGAAATCAAGAGAGTCGTGCAACATCACTCTTTAGGGGAGACCAATAAGTTCTAAATAGTTTGGTTACCGCTGGTCTGTGCTGTACTTTCGAACATGTGGCTCGACGAGTTCTGAAGAGGGTCTGCAGCGCTGTTCGCTTTACCACCACACAAAAAATACGAGTGGCGACAGTGATCAATATTACAGTGGCCGCAGCTTGAGCCAAGATATATGGCGACGCCAATGTTGCAAACGGGATAGTCCATAGAGAGAAAAAGCAAGTGCAAGTCCCTCTTAACCGTTGTTCAGAGGCTCACGGGTTCGCTCGGTCTGCCTAGCCTACTGGGGGCCTTTTATCAAAATGCTCCCGGACCCGTTGTTGCACAACCTCCTTCCTTGTACGTCGCAAAACAAGGAAGCAACAAAATCACGAAATCACGAAAGCTCGCTCCAACAGGATGCGGAAGTGATGGCAGAGAGGAGTAGAATTGACGGTGTCACTCGCCGGAGTGGCCGGCTTACCTCGATCACCCCGGTGCCGCGGCCGACGAAGCTCAGGAGCAGCGCGTCTAGGGTCGCCGCCGTCCGCTTCCTGGATGCACCCACCACCAATCAGCATAGAGAACAACATAAGTCACTACAAAACGGCGGTGACGTATATTGAAGTGACAAGCCGGGAGCGGGGAGCATCGAACGTGAGCAGCATGAAATACGGGACGACAAAAAAAGCCCAGTAGTTGAAGGGCACCCATCATAACGCTGTCCTCGAGCAACGATCATGACGGCTAGATCTAGCAGGTAACACCGACAAACGTCAGATGCGCTACTATGTTCATGGACCAGGGAACAGAGTGAGCTAACATGTAACCGTCTAGATAGGGTCCGTGAGTGTTTTCCGTGCGCTGCGGACACAGTAGCGTCCAAAGTGGATCAAAGGCAGAAAGTACGCGCCGCGTATGGTTCTCGCCTGCTGCGGAATTCACAACCGACAACCAAACCACAACCCAGCCACCCGCGTATGGGACCATCATTCACTTTCCCTCCCTGTCCCCGCCCCCGCCCGGCTCTCTTGTCCCTCCCTCGGTACACCTGTGTGTCCCTCCTTCTGTACACCTGTGGCATGTCTTACCCACTGCTGCGCAGCGTGCGCAGCGTGACCCCCTTGGAGATCTCCACCCCACCTTCGTCTTCCGCGGCCTGGTCTAACTCCGCCTCATCGGGCAGGAGGATTGACACTTCCTGAAAAACAAAAAACAAAAAAAACAAGCCATTGCGAGCAGGCAAAAAACAAACAATGTCTACAACAAAATTATGTAACGGCGCAAAACCATTGGGTTTAAGACAAGAAGTCGCCGCGGTTATCCCAGCTGGCGTACGGTCCCGGCCTGCTCTATTGGGCAGGATGACGACCATTTGTGGCAGACATAGAAAGGCAACAAGGACATAGTGCGGTGTCTTCGAAAGACCCGAAAGAAAGACCCGACGTGGGGGCCTTCTGACCTTAAGCCAACAACATTTTCCAAGACTGAAGGCATGTGCCGCAGAAGGAGCAGCAGGGGATGGCAGGAGAGGAAACAAATGTTGTTCTGCCTTTTAGAAACCGAAACCAAACCATTAGACTAGTCAGCCTAGTCCAGTGCTTCGATTTCGTTTTCTCAAGCCCCCAGCTCGGCTCTACTAGCGTACCTGGTGAAAGACTCGACTGGAGTGTAGGGAATAATGAAAGAGCAATTGACAGAAAAACGATAAGCATAGGACGTGAACCGACCAATGACATAATGGAGGATGCGGATGCAACCGAAGTTTTATCGAATTAGCGCAGAGGGCGGCCCCAAGTCAGCCCCGCCTCCCGCTTGGGATGGTCGACAACCGGCTGTGATTCCACGTGATGCACAGCTACCCTAATATAGATCGTTTGTGCCAGTGCACCTGGCCGTATCGTCCCTTGCGATCTAGCTAATCCCACCTTTCCCTCCGCGGCGAAGCTCTGCGCGAAGCGCGAGGCGAGGCGGACGTTGGCGCTGGAGACGTCGTACGCCGAGCTGCCCGAGTCCTCCAGGTAGTCCTGCTGCAGGGGGGGGAACTCCACCTCGACCAGGTTAAGCCCGTCTTCGAAGGCGGCCTCCACCGCGCCCTGACGGGCAACGACGTTGAGGGGAAGAAGAGAGTCGGTCAAACCAACCCCAAGCGTGCTGCTCTAACCCCCAGGTCTCTCTTCGTCAAGAAATGAGGGGATAGTCCTCGACAGACATCGGGAGCATTGGACCCCTTTCTTTCAAGATGTCACTTCCACAGCAGTAATGTGGAGAAATATGAAAGAGGAGAGGGGGGAGGCATGAACAACCACTTCGGGAAACTGCGCCATAACATCGTCTAGTGCGGAAGTCAGCAACGAGCCAGAGGAGGAACTGTGGGTGAGCTGCGCGTAAGGCTGGCAATTCCCGTTCCTACCCCCCCGACTGCTCGAGTTGCGCGCTTGACGTACAACATTTCGGGTCAACGAGGTTGCCCCAGTACAAAAAGCTTACGCAATACCTCGAACGATGAGTTGAGGGTGGCAATCACGACGACTTCACGGAGAGAGAGGACTGTCGGATCATGGCAGCGGCGACAGGGTGAGGTCTCATCGCAATCAACTCATGCTTAAGCGTCCACGTTCTTGACAGCATCATCACAGCAGCAGGTATCATTTACAGAGTACGAATACACACAGCGGTGTACCTCCGACCTACAACCCTTTGGTTCACCCCAACCAGGAGATTGTGTTCATTTCTTAGTCGAGATGTTTGCTTCACTGTGGCTCCCACGTTCGTAACAAAGCAAAACGTCGCAGGATGGTGTAATAAACACTTTCTACGGCGATTATACACTGCAACACGGTGCCATACCTGCGCCTGTCGTATGCACTGCTCGAACGTGGACGGTGCCGGCTCCAACCGCTCCGATTTCGGCGTCTGTGTCGGAGGAGAGTCGGAGGAGCTGCTGCTCATGGCAAGCGACGATCGTGCTGCTCTGCCGACCTGCCAATCGACAACAACAAGCACCCGGCGAGCACAAACAACGGCCGAAAAGGGGCGACAAAGGTGAACGCGACGACAAAGGTCACACCATCCACACAGAATCGTCTCGGGTTTTTGTGGGGGGAGTTAAGGCCTGCTAGTGGTGGAAGGTACTGCAGTACTTGCCTGACTTCTCGTTGGGCAGATTGGTGATACAATATTGGTTTGTGGAGGTGTATAAGTGTTGTGATGCACTGCTGTGTGTTCGCCGGTGGCGATTGCCGCGAATGGATCTCGGGATGCTGGCTCTTGTTTGAGCGATCTTGGCGCTCTGGTCAAAATGCACGCTCGTGACAGGTAACGCCGGCAGAGAGAGCCGGTACGGACGTGAGAGCGACAGCATGAGGACCCGCATGGCATACACACCACTTCCCAGTGCTTCTACACCAGCCTACAACACATTTCCATGATCGACTTCGGCAGAAGTGGAAAGGACCCACCATAGCAAACCGACAGTAGTGTCTGCTAGTCTTCATATTCTACTGAAGCTGAAACCAAGTGAAACACCCACTAGGCCTCATGACGGTGAAAACCACCCCCCTGGAAATGAGCAACACTATCTGCCCGATCGGGGTGTATGTTTGGGACAACGACCGACGCACCGCACTGCATATCGAACTAGTGATAACCTCAACCTTGGGAGAGGTCCCGTGCCCAATTCGGTCCGTACACAACGTCGGTTAGGTGTGCTGCAGGGACAGGTGCAGATCGGCGGCGGTGTTCATGTATTCCAAAATCACCAACACTCGCGTGTCGTTTCACGGGCGTGGCTCTCGGCGCGGATGTTCAAGTCAGTAACGTCGTGCTATAGGTAGGGAGTCAAGACAATATTTCGATCCAAGAGCATGGAGGTTGCTATGAGGATGCCATGACAACCAGCAGTTATGGCATGTGTATGGAACCTTGTTGGGTTGAAACCTTGTCAGAGTCGGGTGCTGACGTCTACGCCCCCTGGTGTTGGCATTTTGAATCCCCGGCGCAATCGATGACTTGCGGACACGATACGCTAGCTCCAAGGCGACAATAGCTTAGCCGATCAGTCGGACATCCACGACCAGTGGGTGTCACACGCTTTCATGACACCTGGGGGAATCTATGTGCTACAGGTGTCAGCACACGGACAAACCTTTACCTGCTGTTGGGCTCTGGGGCATGTTGGAGAGGACGGAGCACCCGCATTTGCTAGGCTTGGCACCAACGGCGTCGCCACAGGAACCACAAAGCTCCTCGCGAGGTCAACGCAGAGCGTTGCTGCTACTACCACGCCCGCCACCAGACGCAATTGTCTTCCAGGCCGCTGTTCTGCCATCATGCTACGTAATAAAGATGTGTGTGAGATATTTTTTGCAAAAGGGAAACGGGGCTACGCCAGCACGCAGCACCCATACACTCTCCCTCTCACGCGAAAAACGGGGGACGTGGACAGACGCAGATCTCGTAGATCTCGTAGATCTCGTAGATCTCATCATCTCAACGCAACACAGAGCGGGAGCACTCCCCAGCTTCCACCTCCGCGGCACACACCGAGCACCTCACTCGTCGACTCCACAGGAAGTTTTTGCGTAGCACACATAGAGCATAAACACGCGTCTTGCAAGAGCAGGCCCAGGATATGACCGACAACGGCAACCACAAACGGCAGCGAATGTCGCCGCCACCGACTCGCGAAAATGACGATATGGAGGTGGCACCACAACCGACGAACGGGGACGGGGACAACGGCAGTAGTAGGAGCAGAGCAGATTCCAATGCCTCGTCGGACTGGGACGATTGGGCGGACGCTATGGTAGCTCAAGGCGAACCTCCGGGAGAGTCGGCGGCGGCCGGAGGAGCACCGGGAGGAGGGGTAGGAAGCGGCGGAGGAGGAGGCATGGCTGTCGACGAACAAGACGAGGAATGGGTTCGATCCTTGATGGAGCAGGGCACCGTTGGTTCCGTCATCGAAGGCATGGAAAGCCCTGCTTGGGACTACGTGTTGCAGATGGTGGTGGAGGAGAGAGAGGTTAGACGCGTGGACGGGGTACGAGGCGCGTTTGCACGATCTGCATGTGTGCCGGAAGTCACGAGTTTGGCCGCATTTTGTGATGACAACCGTGATGATGGTACGGACACACGACGGGTGTAGCCTACCTCTGTTGCTCCGCGATACGAGCTAAGTCAGTTGTAGATACAGCCTGTGCCTGGTGTTTCGTTATTACACAAAAAAATCATGCCAGTGTCGTCGACAACACTCGTCTCTCCTTGCCCTTGCCCGCCGCTCGGCCGGACCCAAACCACCACAACAGCGAGGCGGTGCGGCGACGGTAGAATCCCCGGTGCAGGAGATAACCGGCGTGGCCGCGACCGAGTTCGTCTCCCGATGGCTCCGTAGCAACCTGCCGACTACACTACCCGCGCTCAACGCCCTCACGCTCATAGAAGGCGGCTGCGCGCAGCAGTACCACCGAATTGGGAGCAAAAGCGGTGACGGTCAAGAGCAACGACGCGTGCTTGGTGGGAGGGCGTTCGCCGACTCTGTTGCGGAGCCATCCTCCGTGGCCGTGGTTTCCTGCTCCCCGCAACAGGGCATGTAAGAGAGGGATAATTAGAGATGGCTGCGACTGACGGGAGGGTAGCGTGGTTGCATAGCCGGAAGACGATTATCTTTTCATCATATTGTTTGCTCATATTCCTCCAGCTCGTGAGCAGAGCGCTGCTCTTTTGGCCGCGCTGTGGTGAGAAAAACCCTCTCCCTTCAGAATTCGCTCCTCCTGCCTGTGAGCTGTCCCGTAGCTGCTGAAACACCACCGCCGTAGCTGTTGAAGCACGCGCTGCTCGACTCGCTCGAGCTCGTAGAGTGGTGCTTCTTGTCGTAGAGGTGCCCTTTTTCGACGTAACACTGCAGCCATCCCGCTATACCGATCCCATCTCGGCCACCAACACCAACGCTCCCATATTTCCAGGCACCGCGTCAACCTGTTCAGTCTCAGCGCTAACTCAGGCGCAGCTCTCGCCGCCGCCGTCGTGCAACCGGGGGCGGTTGGGCTTCAAGTCCCGGCGGTGGGGGCGGCGGCGTTGGGTGAGGAAACCGTGGCCGGGGGTTACAACAGCAATGACACCAGAAGAAGTAGCGGCGAGGTTTCGGGGAGACGGTCGACGGGACCAGGGTGCAGCGATCGTGGGGTCGTGTTCGAGTCCTTGGACTCGAGGATTTTGGAGGACGCCCTAGTTTCGGCGATGAGGAGGCTCGGGCTTGGTCTAAAGAATCGATCCAGGTGTGCGGTAGAGGGGAGGAGGTCGCAGTGTTCCAAGGGGTGTAGGCGGTATGCGTCTGGTCCTTGGTGTGCTTTTGCCCTAGCGCCTGAAGGTTGAGCCAAGTCATTTCCACCGCATGTCAAATGTAGATGCATCTATATTGTGTGCGTTCTGTTGGCTTGATCGGACGTTTCTTCCTTGTGATTCTGCCATTCTGCCCGTATGGGGCGTGATTTCCTGCTCGTCTTCTTGGTCAGATTTCGGCAAAGGCCATCTTGCGGCAATTCGCTGAGAGTAGCAGCGTTCGAGTTTCCCCTGAAGCACCGGCCGCCGTGCTTGGTGAAACCAGTCTCCACGATCTCTTATGGTCGTCAGTACGCATAGGAAAAAGTACCCAGACACGGTTGGTTGATTACTGCTAGCAACACAACAGCTCGCCCAACGTTCCACGGGAATCGTCGATCACGCCCTTGAGCCCCCTTGTTTGGCCGACCGGCCGCCGGTCGTGCCTTACGTACACATACCTCGGTGGATGGGGGTTGCATGCGGAGAAGAGACGTTTCGTGAACCCAAGGTGGACCTGTTTGTCGGAACAGCTTTTTCCCACAAAAAATGAACAACACATGAACGTAGTCTGCTGAAGAGCAATTCTACTGGCGTGTGACCACTTTCCTCGTATCTCGAGCAGGAGCGGGATGTGGAAGCTTCGACCCGGCGCCGTGCTACCCGCCGGCGATACCTCGATAACATCGGTAAGAGATTGCTGTGCGTTCCCACCATGAAACTCACAAATACATGCACCGCGTGTGTTTGTGGCTTTTCCCGATGTGAAGTGACGAGCGCATCTCGAATGGGCAGTCTGTCTTTGATTGTGTGCAAATCTTCTAAAACATTTGCGACGAAGAACACCTGCTCCCCGTCCCTGTTTGGCGTCCTATTTGTCCAGGCGGAAGTGAGACCCGTCACCCTCGAAGATGCGGGCTTCATCGCCCGCTGCTGCTCCAGTGGACTCGCGGGGGTCGGTAGATCAGAGGCGCTGGTGCGTGGTCTGATTGGCCGAAACCCTTCCGCCGGACTCCGGAGAGGAAATCAGCTCGTAGCGTGGTGAGTGTGTACGTCCGTAGCCGGTACAAAACTTAGTGGCTGTATGGATTCATGCGCAAGACCTTTGGAAGGGCCGCTTTGGAAGAGACACACGCGAACGCATGGACTCACTGAAGTATATGCGAAAAATCGAAAAAATTCTGTCCGTCGGTGCATGTTCATTGGCCAGCCACGGACTGTTATAGACTCGAGCCGATGTTTACTGTGGAAACGAAGAAAAGGACCGCCTTGTGCGGCTTGGAAGCACCAGGCGTGCCCTCTACCACTGCACGTCGTCTTGTAGAAAATAAGCTACGTTGGCCTTGGAGTTTTCAACAGACGACCAAACGCACAAACGTGCGAACCCGGCGCGAACCAGCACCTCCATCTATCAACACCCAAAACAACCTGCCGCAGGGGTCTTTCTTTCGACAACGGACTGGCCGGAGCCCTTCACATCGCCCCCCAGACGACAGAGTCGGGCCTCCCTTCCCCCCTTCCTATTCTGCCACCCCTTGCAAGCGGAGAAGAAGAGGGACAATTCTCGCCGCGAAATATGGTCCTGGCTCTCCTGGGGTCGCTGTTGGCTCGGCCACTGGGCACCGACTGCGCCGCAAACAACACAACTACCGCTCGCACGGACGACAAAGCAACACGGTCTGTTTCAGATGTGGCATCGAGCACGGAAGAGCAACAAGTGGGCCTCTCAGGCTCATCGTTGGCGCATGGCCGCGGTGCCGGTGGCGGCGTTAGCGTTGGCTTGGAGGCCGTTGTGGTTGACGACGATTCGCCGTTCGTTGGCCTCTTCGGGGAGCTGGAGCTGCTTGAGAGGGTGTGCGATGCGGATTGGGTTAGATTTGAACCTCTTGCTAGCTGCTCCAGCGACGCCAGCGGAGCGCCGGCAGAGGTGGCGGCAGTACCCTTGTCAGCGTTGGTGTTGAATCCTTGATGTATTTGCGATTGTTGCGCTATCACCGGGTCGGGGGGAGGGCTGCAGCAGGGTGCAAAGAAGGCGCAAGCGAGTTCCTGTGATGCTCGTACGTGCGCTTGCTGTACGAGGCAACGCTCCTGCTCTTGCTCTGGTACCAGCACTTGAGATGTGCTGAAAAAATAGTCCTTAGCAAGAATAACACCAGTGCTTCGCAGAGCAATACACCCAGGCGGCCCGGTCTCTTTCTGCGAAGCTTGAATAGAACGGCCAATCCATGCATCAGTTTGTGTTGTCTTTCTCAGCCACGCAAATACGGTAAAAGAGAAAGCTAACGACAAAACCACGAGGTCTGGTAACTTGTCTCGAACGCTAAATATTCGACCAACATTTGTTCAAAATAGGAAGACACAACGACACCTTTCTTACACGAAGAAGGAAAAAAATGGCGCAATCGCCGGTAATCTTTCGGGTCGCGCGTAAACTACAATAGTATCCGGCGGGCAATGGTGCTATTTAGTAAGTAGCGCGACCGCCGCGGGAGGTCCGACCACAACAGAAACCGGCTGCCATCCTCCGCAAAAAAAACAGTCACTCCGCCCGCGCCCCACACCTAAAAAAAAACACACACACACACACGCCCACCCTTAACTCACGAATAGGTAACACGCAGGTGGAAACGCAGGGAGGAAATACGACTTTGTACCCAGCCTCCTCACAAACACGAAACACTAACTCAAGTGAGTGAAAAAAAGCCGAATGCCCCGTCGCCAACGTAAACAGGCAGCACGAACCAGATAAGCTACAGTACCATGCGAATGGACGAGGTCATCGCGACAGCGCGGCACTAGTGCCATTCAACAGCTCTGGCGGGGGCACAAATAGTAGCCTCGTGCCACCACCCATGATAGACTAAACAAAGCACTTGCCTTACACCAATGGGCACACTAAAAGTGAGAAAAACAACTAAAACACAAAAAACGTTGACTCCCATGCGAGAGCGGCTTGAGGTTGCACAGCAATTTCATCCGCATAAACACGAACGCATACGAGTTACTTGAGTACCGACGCCATACAAATTCGAGGTCCAGCATTGTCTGCCACCTGTGTACACTGTCTAATGGGTAGCCTCGCAGCCTGCTAAGGGCCAGGTCATGGGTTCGAGTCCCGGCAGAGAGTTTTTTTCTCACTAAATAAATCCTGGTCTAGGATGAAAGCGACGCGCTGCAAAGCTCGTTTGTTAGTAAACCATAATCGACTTCGTAAGTCGCGAGGGAAGGGATTGCTGTACCCTTCTCGCGATAAAAATACCTCAGGCATGAACCGCAGGAGGGGGTCCAACCCCCCCCTCCTATGTGACCCCGGTTGGGTCGTCTAGCTAGTACAAGTGGAGGAGAGGGGCCAGAGGGGCAGACGATAGAGTCCAATGATGGGAGAAAAACAACAACAACAACTGTTTACAGGTCCTCTGAACACCTATACCCTCAAAACCAATCCCTTGCGCAAGATACACTACTACAGACGTTGTCGCGAAATAAAAAGCTAAATCGCTTCGATCGGCGGAGGCAGGCATTGGTGAATCCCGCCTTTTCCCACCCAAATTTCCACAAAAGCAACCCACCAACCGTATAGCATGCCACTCCCGTACCCGGCCTAGCTCTCCCTGCATGCGTGTCGCCTCACCAAATACCTCAAGGCGCTTTGCGCTCTAGGTGAGACGGCATACGCTTTGTGGTCGATGGAACCGTGGCGTGTGCCTCCTCCCCGTTGCTGTTGGTAAATAAAGCCGCAAAATGGCGTCAGCGGATACGCGGCCTAGCATATGGAAAAACGAGCTACCACCCCTCCCCGCAAAGTGAGGCGAATGAAGACCGACATCAACTTCTCGAAACCTCTCAAATTTTTGTTACACCGCTGATACGCGCGGCCGTGCCCTTAGAAACGAGCTACCGCTTCCCCCGCTCCCCCCCAAAGCTACACGAATTGACCCAACTCGCTCTCTCGTGCCCCTCATGATAGAATTGTTGTCTACATCGCCAAGAACGGACGTGTTGTTTCACTTCCTGGTGATGGGGCGCGAGTCGGTCGCCCACCTCGCCTTCCAGCGGCCGTCGAACAACACGCACTGGCCGTCATCCTGCATGGTCAGCGTGTACGGCGGCGGGCCGCACTTGGCCGTTTCCGAGGACCAGAACACTCTCCCCGACGAGTCGTACCCAACCAGGTCTCCGTTCTTCTGAAGCACGAGCCTGAAGGGGGCGCCGAACGGTGGTTTGTCGGCCGATCTCGAGCCGCTGTTCCAGATGACTCTCTCCGCCTGCCTGACGATGATGTTCCGGTCAGGCAGCACCTGGAAAGTGAATTTGCCGTTGGCCGACCGGAGCGGCTTCACATCCGCGTAGGCCGTCTCCACGCGCACGTAGGCGCCGGGAGCCTCTCCGGCGTGACGGCCGGCGGGTGCCTTTCTGGGGTGTTGGCCGCTGGGCGAGACTGTGTCCACCGCGCGACGAACCATGTTGTCGTCTCCGTGGTAGACCGAGCCCCGAGGGAGGACGTTGCGGGCGAAGTCGCCAGCCTGGTTCCCTCTCGGTGAGAAATAACCGACCACCCACATGGTTGATTCTCCCTTGTACTTTGCGCGGAAGACGCCGAAGCCTACGTGGGTGGTGAGCCTCCACACGTTGGCGGTGAAGTGGGACGTGTTCGAGCTTAGGCCCGGCTTTCCGTAGTCGTACCTGGCCTCCTCTTTCTGTTCATCGAGTCGGGAACGGTAGACCATGGGCATCATTCGTGTGAGATCTGTTGAGAGTTAAAGCCTCGTGATATAAACTATAACAAAATCTGTCATCAAAATAAGGCTCAAATGTTCACGAAAAATAACGTGAAAATAAGGCTGAGACCAAATACGAAAGGAGAGCGACCGAATACCCCATCACACAAGAACATTTCCACACCCTCCGCCCGTACCACCCACCCCTCAGCAAAGATAGATGCCGTTCGAGTAGTATTGCACGGAAATATCGTTGGGTCGTGGGTGGTGCTTGAGGTGGACCACGAGGAGGTAGTCATGGAACTCCAGGATGGCGACATCCATCCCCCTATAAGTGTTCGCCGAATCAAAGTTTCCACACCGACCGTTCTTGAGGGTGTGTTATATTCAAGAAAACAAGAAAATTAGATGCAACAGCCCGTAAGAATCCCGAATGAGAACTTCGGCTGGTCCTTCGACTGAAAACAAGGCATTGATCCTCGTGGACCCGACTTCGACGTAATGCAACTGCGGGCCCGTTCTGTAATCGTTCCATCCCCGGCTCTGGTTCTATGGTGTGAAAATTGGTTGAGCGAGGTGAGTGCTACAACATGGAGGGAATGCACATACAACGTTCAGAGATCATACTTTTGGTATGGCGTGGGTAACGCGATACTTCAGTCCACGTACGAGTGTCTTGACGGAAGCCATGGACAGCCCGGCAGGAACATTCTACGCCACAACGAAGGAAACACCAGCGCCGAGCCCTCCAGAATTAGCCTCGGGGCCTTGACTGGATGTTTTGCAAATCCCCTTGAGAGGTATTGCATAGACTAGACTATAGTCTACTCTTCCCTCGGGTCGAATCGCGGGGTATCGCCCAGGGTGGGAAAAGTAGCGCAGACTCCCTCGGCGCTAACGCGCCGAAGGAGCTGTAAGCTTTCGGGGGTGCGCCGAAGCCCTCCGCAGGAGCCGCCGGAGGCCCCCTTCGGAGGGGCCCCGGGAGGGGTTCCCGGAGGGAAACGAATTCGGGTAGCATGCGTCATTTCGTAACTTTCTGGCACTAAATTGAAGTGGTAGTTTACTTAGCCTTGTTTACGATGTTGGAATACAAGTTCGCTACTTTCGTAGGTAGCAAGAGGTGCCGGTCAGTGCGCGTCTGCATATTCGAGCAAAAGCCCCACCAGCTGACATTTCAACGTGTACAAACATAGACTACATCATACATACATTTAGACGCTTGCGTGTAAATTTGACGTGTTATTTCTTTATTTTACAGAAGAAGCAAATTCAATACTCCGAAGAAAAATTAAAGCAAGAGATCATTTTTATTCAGATTTTTGCGAACGAATGGGAACCCACTGTTGTGCAGCACAGCGCTTACCAACCTGGAGGCTACAGGCTACAGGCTCCATGTGCACTGTGCACGTGCCACATGTACGTATATCTGATCTATCCTCCAGTACAGCAAGTAGCCAGTAGTCTACTCCACTCGCGGCCACTCTCGTTTTCGAATTGTTAAATTTCGCGGGGGCCCCGCAGGATTGTGCGCCGAAAGTCCGGCAATATTGAATACAGATGGCGCTCGCATTTAAGAACTTAGCAGTTAAGAAATGCAGCCTCGAAAAAACCAAAAGTTAAGAACTTGGCCATATTGATACGTGCTCAGTTCCGACGTGGTCTTAAGAACAATAACCCGTTCGGATAAGAGCAGAATCTCAAAAAAGTGGCAGCTGCAAGATAAGAACTCGTAGAGGTGGTGAGGGGTGACTCACGGGGTGTCCGGTGACCCCACCCAACGGCAGTTTCAGATCAGCGACGAGGAGGGGGATCTCCGTTTCAAAAAATACTGGTGCGGAGGGGGGGCGGGGGCGGGGCGTACTCTTATGTTTTGCATATCTAGTGGACAGACCGTTGACCTCGCGTCCTCGAGAGGACGGAGTATTTTTTCCACAGGACCCAAGCCCGATTTGCCAATCGTCCCCGCCTACTTCACCAAAAAAGAAGGGGTCTCACAAATGTTGTCCCTAGCCTAGCTATCCTATCGATATTACCTCCCGCCTCTTCAACCCACGTTCTATGCCCCGGTACAGCTACCTAGCTGGTATTCCATGCCTCAAACATCTCCCTGTATCTACCTTATACTTTTCTCAAGGCTCAGTCACGTAAAATCTCCTCTCCTTGTACAACAGACATTCCGCAACTACATGAACCCGGTGTTCGCACTCGGAGCCACGTTCACATTTTGCCTTGGTCGGTGAGGTAGGGGGGGGGGGTAGGTGCTTCTAGCTTTGTTGAACGAGGCATGCCCCTCGTCGCGTGGCATTGGGGTGCCTGCCACGCTGCGCGCCATGCACGAGAGCCATATCTTTACCCCATGAAATATTGAAAGAGCTCGGCCAGCTGTCAAAGTTGAAAGGAGGTGTAATTCTTGATCGACACTTCGAGGCCATCAAAGAACATGTCATTGCTGGCAACTGCCCACGAAGTCAGACTGGGAGGCCATCGAGTCGGCGCGGGGGCGTCGAAAGCTTGCCGACACCTCTTCCTTCGTCGCACCCACNACCTTATACTTTTCTCAAGGCTCAGTCACGTAAAATCTCCTCTCCTTGTACAACAGACATTCCGCAACTACATGAACCCGGTGTTCGCACTCGGAGCCACGTTCACATTTTGCCTTGGTCGGTGAGGTAGGGGGGGGGGGTAGGTGCTTCTAGCTTTGTTGAACGAGGCATGCCCCTCGTCGCGTGGCATTGGGGTGCCTGCCACGCTGCGCGCCATGCACGAGAGCCATATCTTTACCCCATGAAATATTGAAAGAGCTCGGCCAGCTGTCAAAGTTGAAAGGAGGTGTAATTCTTGATCGACACTTCGAGGCCATCAAAGAACATGTCATTGCTGGCAACTGCCCACGAAGTCAGACTGGGAGGCCATCGAGTCGGCGCGGGGGCGTCGAAAGCTTGCCGACACCTCTTCCTTCGTCGCACCCACCAGTTTTCGAATTCAAGCGTCTAATTACGCTGCTCTTGACAGTTCGTTGCTGAATGTGGAGTACTCGAAAAGCTGAGCATGGGCTGCGGCCGTCCCAGGAGNTTACGCTGCTCTTGACAGTTCGTTGCTGAATGTGGAGTACTCGAAAAGCTGAGCATGGGCTGCGGCCGTCCCAGGAGCGTACCCGCACTCCCTTTCTTCCCCTCGCTGCCTCGGCAATGTTTTGCGTAGGCATGACCCTTAGCG